TATTTTGTTCTTGGATTGTAAAACCTCTCATCAAATCCCCAATGTGACGATCTTGAAAACTCACCTTTTTCTCTGAAAAATGTCTTCTGCCTTTAGGTAAAGCTGAGAAGTAAGAGCAGGATATCTGTGTTTTAAGATGTAAAATATGACAGATTGGTCATTGTATTATTTGTATGCGAATCGACTTTTAAACTTATTTTAACCCTCTGTTCTTAATAAGGACAGTAATCAAACCTTTTAAATTAGCTTATGATTTAAACTTATTTTAACTTCTCTGTTACTTTGTGCAGTGAATTGTGAATTTGAGATTTGTACCTACAGAGGTGTGAGTGTATGGCTGGAGTGTTTTTTTTTTTTTTTTTGTGTGGAGATTGACGTTATTTTCTCTTTGTAAATATATAATCTATTGTTTTTGCTTTTTTTTTTTTCCTAGTTTTGATCTTAGACAACATATTGGATTGCCTTCTCTTTTGTTATTTGTCATAAATAAACTGTTTACTTTTTGTTTCTTTTGTCTTCTCTTTTACTTATGAAAGCTTTGTTTGATTTGAAGGAAGACATGTTGAGATATTTTAAACGAGTAGCTCAAATTTCTATTGTAGAAAATGTCGAGACAAATTTCTATTGTTGCTTTTGCCTTCTCTTTTGTTTATTGTTTAAGTAATTCTATCTCGCTCCACTGAATCATTATCTTGGGTCCGCCCCTGAGTGTTGGACAACTTTGTCTGTATGAATTTGGTCATGTAATTGGTGAAGTTTGAAGTCTAACAAACATATTATTTTAACATGGAACTTAGTTTACAACAATCTATTTTTGAAGTGTGTCAAATGAGATTAAATATCGAGTAAAAAGATATTATGTTAATGTTGTAAACTTGACTCGACCAATTAGTTTCGTGAAGAGTTTAGAGCAAACTCGACTTAGTTCAAAGAGTGTTATGTGTAAAATTTCCCAAGTTTGTACTGAGTTAATACCTCTTGTTGGAAATTATAGTTGTTTAGACTCAAATGTTGAATTAGAACAATTAAAAGCAACAAATCATTTATTAATTAGTTTCTACAAAATTAAAGTAATTAATCCTATGTGTCAATTAAATAAAGATAAGAAGCAATACAGAACACCAAATATGATCACGGGGAAAAATCTCTAATTGAATAAAAAACCTTCGGGTAAAGTTGTCAGTAAAATTTACTAGAAAAGTTAACTTTCAACTAGTCCAAACACTGTTAAACCTTAGATGACTTTGGTCACCTAATTTGTAAATCACTAAAGAACTCCTTCAGTTATAGACCCGCACTTCCCAACAACTTTAGACTACTTTTCTCTTAGCGTGGATCAACAAGAACGAACCTCGTTCTCGAGCGTCGAAACTCTAAACGCATCTTCCCAAAACTCCATAACTCTGAAGGCTACTTGGCGAAGGTATGGTTTTGTTTTGGTGTTTGATCAAATGATCTTTTTTTATTTTAATTTGTAGGCTGATGCCAGAGATATTTGAATATGTATTTTACCTTTAAAGAACAAACTTTTGACTTACAATAAGGCTTTACTAAGGATAGATCAATATATGGGATCAAATATATGAATCAAAGATTTTGGGTTGAATCAATAAAATCAATGGGATGTGTTTTTGATCTTCAACAATGAGATCTCCAAGATAATATGATGATTCAACACACATTTGGACATTTTAGGGCTAATAGGTAGTGTTTGGGTAAAATAGAACTCAGAAATTAGTTGAAATCACGAACCTAGGGTTTGATAATGTAACAAGTCGGTTGAGTACCGTGGGGTGCCAAGCGAGCACTAAGGTTCTGTTTTGGGCACTCGAACGCCGACTGGAAGGCCAACGAGCTCCCTCTGAGCAGTCGTTAGAATTTTCATCATATCGTTATCACTTGATATTGGAATGAGGGGATTCAAACTATGTTGGAAAGATAATTTAAATTACTACAATTCTTCTAGAAGTAGAATTTTTCAAATTCGAATATTTTCTATGTGAAAAATGCGTCGCAACTTGTGACTGAGAATTTGGAGCATAACTTGCACAATATTTTGACATTCTTTTGACTTCTAATTGCATTTCAATGATCATATGTGATATTCTTGGACATATTTGACTCCTTCAAGGATTATATTACCAATCCTTAACTATTTTTCTTTAAATACAATTTTATTATTTTAATTTTGTTTAAAGAATAGCCAATAACAAATAGAAACCTATGATTTGAGCGGTCACACCAAGCATTATTTGGAAAACTATTAGGGATTTGATTAGAGTAATGTTATTCATCCTCAATGGGGTTACAAACACAATCTAAGTGCTCTAAATTATAGGTTAAATGAAATGTGAAATGAAATGACTTATTTAATTTCACATATCATTTAATACCACATTAATGCTATCTAAACTGTGTTTGTAATTTTAGTGGGATGAATAACATAACTCATTTGATTAATATTGAACATAAATGGCTTTTTTCAGACACATGTTTACACTTAGACATGTCCAAAGGCAAGAGGTGTTGGAATTTAATAGGTATTAAAAAGGTTTGGAAACCAACGTATTGGCCAACTTTGAGGGATTTTTTGGCGGGTTCCATGTGAAATTAATTAGATTAATTTGGTGGTAATTAATCGTTAACATAAGATTAATTTGGTGAAATGGATAATTGAGTGAATTAGAATAAGCTATTAGAAATTAAATTGTCGTAATTAAAATGAGTTTATTAAATGATTAATCATCAATCTTTACCTTTAATTACTACTTATTCACTCAAAAATAAAATATTACCGATTGCCCAATCATTTTTACATAACATTACTCATCCATCATTTAACTAAATTTTGTTCGTCCACGCGGTAAAATTTCCTACGTGACGGATGAAAATTCTACGTGGCAATTAAATCCCTTTTAACTAATGCACGACACAAAGTCCAGTAATTAAGTAAAAATTATGGCTAATTGACCTAATTTTAAGTTTTCTATTTTCTTTTTATAGTAAAAGTTAGAGAAAGACCAAAAAGGATAGTTATTGAGGAAATTACACCTACACCTAGTTTTAAAATATCATTTTCATAAATCAGGTATCTAGTTTTCTAATACAAAAATCAGGTTTTAATTAAAGATTTTTTTTAAAAAAATTATTTTTATTTTATATCTACCTACATTATCCAATCCCAAAACTAATCCATATCATCTCCACCCTCTCACCGTCTCTCCACCCTCTCACCGTCTCTCCACCTTCTCTCTTCTGCACTCTACTCCCTCTTTGCCAGCAGCCCAGGCTCCACGAGACTGTGCGCCTCGTCCGACAGCTTTGTGCAGATCCAGTGGTCTTGGTGAAGATCCGTTCTTCTTCTTCTGTTTTTTTTTTTTAAATTTTGATTGATGCAGTGGAGGTGTGCCGTGCGGTGTGTGAGTGTCGCTGTTTCGACGCGATGTGTGAACGGGTGTGTATACGTACGGTGCTGTGGGTGCGCGTGCACGGTGCTGTGGAGAATGAACTGCTAACGGGTGTGTGCGTGCGTGTTGCGAAGGTTGCGATTAGGTGTGTGCGGTGTCGTGACGATAGTCGTGGGTGGGATGAGATGGACTGGGTGTTTGTGACCAATTATTTGATTGATTGTGACCAATAATTGATTAATTTTTGACAAATTAATAATGTGTGAGCCAAAAATTGTGACTGTGACTCACATTTTATTAAATTATAATCGAGTTGTGACCAATAAAAGTAATCTGTGACGTATAATTTGATGTTTTGTGACCATAAAATAAGTTGTATTTGTGACTGTGACTCACATTTTATTAAGTTATAATCGAGTTGTGACCAATAAAAGTAATCCGTGGTCTATAATTTGATATTTTGTGACCATAAAATAAATTGTGACTTATAAATTTTGTGATTTGTGACTTTTAAATTTTTAATTTGTGACCGATGAACGAACTGTGACCTGTAAAATTTTTGAATTGTGACCACGTTGAATAGATCTGTGACCTTTATATATTTATTAATAAATAAATAAATTAATTAAAAAAATATAAATTTTAATGAAAACCTGATTTTTGAAATTTAAAACCTCTACCCTTAGTTTTAAAATGGTGATACTTAAATACCTTATTTATGTATTGTTCCCTTAGTTATTTATCTGAACATTCCTTCTGAAAGGATTACTAAGAAAGGCCCAATGGACTGGAACAGTTGGGTCCGGTATTATCCATTTAGATGTCCAACATGGTAGAAGACAGAAGCATACGTCAATATCGACGAGTCGGAAACTCGAAATATATGAATCATGCTTCTTGTATATTCTTTATCGACATCAATGTTGACATTCCCCTATGATAGGAAATCTAGCCATTAATTGAAAAAAATATTGGTCAAATCAATGTACAAAAATCTGTCGACTTACATGACGTCGAACTTGATGTACTTGTAGTGTGATTGCGGAAAATATATAATTTAGGAAATAATTTCAACTTTTGTACAACATTTCAATTTTATTCTTATATTATTTTTTGACTTATTTAATCACTAAAATTAATTAACTTTTTACTCATCTGTTCACTAGAACTTTTCCAATAAAAATGATTAGATTTCCAATAAAATTTTGCATTTATTGTTATCGCGTATAACTCAATCTAATATGTGGCTCGTTCTTTACCAACAAAGTTAAAATACTTTTAAGAACCATTTTCGATTTAGAAAAAACTTGAGTGGCCATTTGTGGTTGTAATTTACAATTTTACCGATTTTTGCATCCAGTTTTGTGCCATTTGTTTCGTTTTTCTGTTGACACCTCCAATTTTTCAGGCTTCTCGTTTTTTCGTTAATGCTAATTCAACTTTAAACATATTAAATTATTCAGATCTGCAAAAGATCCCACTGCAAATTTCAGCTCAAGAACACAAATAGTACGACCTTTTATTTTTTATTTTTTTCTCTCTACAAACAAGAATCCAAGAAACCCAGTTCACTCTTATAATCTTGAAACGAAAATGGATCCAAATCCGAACAATTTCCCAATTCTCTCCTATGTTATGGCCAAGATTCCGAGCTTTAAACGCACTTTCTCCACCGCCGACGCCGCCGCGGATTTCGACGTCGAAAACCCACCGCCGTCGACGACGCTCGGAGACGAAGAACCTTATTTCGAGCTTACCGAGAAAATGCCTCACCTCACTAACCCAAAGCTCATCTCCGCCATGCGTTTGGCCGTTGCTGACGTTGCTCAGACCCGATCTGTGCTCCACACCCTCGGTGTACGCCCTGATCATGAGGCTGTAGACGCTGCACGCTTGAAATTATCCGAAATCGAGGCCGACTTGTCTAAAAGTTTGGAAGAGATAGTACTTGCTTCTCAGCCGGCGGATTCTAACCAGCTCGATTGGCGGGCCCACCAGGCGAAAAAGGAGGAGGAGTGTAGAAAGGCTGCTGAGAGGGAGAAGGAGATTTATAAAGCGGTGATCAATTTGGATGAGATGCACGAGGCGTATGAGAAGATGTTGAGTGAGGCGGAGAGTAGATTGGAGAGGATTTATGAGGCTGCGGTGGAGGGAAAAGACGAGGCAGAAGAGTCATTTAGAGAGAAGGAAAATGGCCCTCATGAGGGGGCGGAGGAAATGAACGAGGAAGTGGCGAGGATTCTGAGGGATGCAGAGTCGGGGAAGGCGATTGAGAGGATGGATTTAACGGGAAGAAGATTGAGGTTGTTGCCCGAGGAGTTTGGGAGGTTTAAGTCATTGGTTGCGCTTAATTTGTCAAACAATCTACTTGAGGTTAGAGTTTGCATATGAATGTTAAGATAATGCATTTGAATTGTGTGATTTAGATTGTATTTGGATGCTTTTTTGTTAATGCTATGGTCTTTGGATGTGGTTATCACTCGTATAAATTTATAGTAGTTTATAGTTTACAATTGTATCTTTGATCATTTGAGCTTGTTTGAAGAGATGCTTGAGTAGATTGTTCGCCGGATTTATTTATAATTAATGTGTACGGTTAAGAATGTTGTTCTTGATGTTATATAAGAAAAGAGGAATAGGGTGTTCTAGTTGTAGGTTTTGAGCTCGAAATTATGTTTGGAAATAAGAAACAATTATATTATCTGCTTACCAATTCTTGAAAGTCATGTGCAGACTGTGCAGTAACATCGTATTGTTGAATTTTGTGTTATTTAATGTTTAGGTGATTGGATGATGGCATCTTATATCATCTAATGTGGTACCACTTCGATGCTGCTTCACTTGTATGTGTATGTGAGTGATAGAATGGGTTACATAACTTGATGATTAAATGAGTTTCTACTTATTCTGTTGAGTAATGTTGTGCTGGGTCTTGATAAAAGTAGAAAACAGTTGAATATTGTATCAAAACTTGCAAATGGAACTTTTAATTCGCCTTTTTTATCTAAAGGAAAATATTAAGATGTGCACTTTTTCATGCGGAAAGAAAGAAAATAGTACACTCTCTTGGTTCAAACTTCAAAGGGCATAATTGAGAAAAACTTGATGTCACATGGAGAAAGCTGACTATGAAAGAAAGGTAATTAAACTAGTGTGCAGGAGACCAACACTTCGTTATGAAAGAAATGTAATTATTTGCCTATTTCTGTTCGTCTAATGGTTTGATATGGTCTATGGCTTTATAACTTTTCAACATTCGATCATTTGTGGAGACTTCAGGGAATCTTTTTGTCATTAACATGATTTGAATTTGCTTCTTTCTTTTTAATGTTTATTGATACATTTGCTATTCACCCACAGTTTGCTAAAGTCTGGGAGTCTTGTGGGGCTGCAATTCGATATAGTTTTCTTTCAGAAGCTCTCTATTTTGCAACTATGCAGTAGTTTTTGAGACAGTTTGGGCAGGCCAAGCCTTAGAAGTTTTAGACTTCTAGTCAAGTTACAAGTCAGACTTTTGCTCGAGAATATATCAATGAAAGTTTTGTCCAAGTAAACTTGACACTTTTCAACACCTTCAGTGTATCCAGTTAGGAAATTTTCTCTACTCACCCCAATCTTCACTTTACGTCATGCCGACTCCACTTTTGTCATAAGGCGTGGAGTTAGATGAAGGAGAATCTCTATAGGAACTAGTCTCCAACTGAGTTACAGATTCCTTTATTGTTTATCCAGTAAAGAAAATGGAAAAGGAAGATTCACACAACAATCAAGCTTTATGTAACGTTGATAAACGGCAGGGTCAATAGAGAGTTAGTACGAGTTATAATTTGCTTAGCTCCAGCATACTTGCATCCTGCCTCTGTAATTTTCCTGTCCTGTGCTCCTGGTTTCTACTCAAAACCTCGTCCTTTGATTGCTAACTTATTTCAACTTCTTGTTTTTTTAATTTTTGTGATTTGTGGCTAGTAATTATTATTGCTCAACCAATATCCTGCGCTTGACAATTTTCCCCTTTTCTTGTTGTGAGGAAACAGGCAATTCCTGATTCGATTGCAGGATTAGAAAATCTCGAGGAACTTAATCTTTCGGGAAATCTTTTGGAGTCACTCCCTGATTCTGTAGGCCTTTTGTTTAATTTGAAGGTCTTAGATGTCTCTGGGAACAAGCTTATTGCCTTGCCTGATAGCATATCTCATTGCAGGTAATTCTAAAGTATTTATGTGATTGTTTGGTAGTGCTTTTAAGTGCTTATAAGCTGCGAGTCTACGGAATGTGTGAATAATAAGTGGATACTAAGTTATTGATCTTATGAAATGTGTGGATAAAAAGTTTGCTTACTGCTAAATAACTTATTTTCCATAGTTGCGCTAGCTTTTCAGATTTTTCTTTTTCAGGTCGTTAGTAGAATTGGATGCAAGTTTCAACAAACTGACTTACTTGCCAACAAATATTGGGTACGAGCTAGTGAATCTGCAAAGGCTCTCAATCCACCTGAACAAACTCCGATCTCTTCCCAAATCTATTGGTGATATGAAGTCTTTGCGCCTTCTAGACGTGCATTTCAATGAGCTATGTGGACTTCCACCTACAATTGGTAAATTGACAAATCTCGAGATCATTAACCTAAGCAGTAACTTCAGTGACCTAACTGAACTTCCTGATACAATTGCTGACCTAACCAACCTGAAAGAACTTGACTTGAGCAACAACCAGATCCATGCATTGCCCAACCAATTTGGCAGGCTTCAGAATCTGATTAAACTTAACGTTGACCAAAACCCTCTTGTAATACCTCCAAAGGAGGTCGTGAATGAAGGAGTTGAAGCTATCAAGAATTATATGACTAAAAGATGGGTCGACATGGTGATGGAGGAACAGCGAAGGAACTCGCTCGAAGCGCAAGAACAGCCAGAAACCAGTATATTAACACGAAGCACGTCCTGGTTGAACAATATTGTTTCAAATGTTACTGGAACCATTTCAGAATACTTGGGTGGACCCTCTGGAAAATCAAATGAAAATTCTTACCTGAATCAGCAGCTATGATTTCATTTCTCATGACTAACTTGCGTCCCATTTCGTTGTAATCGAGCGATTGAGGAATTCTTGGACGCTGCTCTGGTTCTTCAGAAGCGATAAGTTATCTACTCTTTTCTTTCTCGTTGCCAGAACCCCAACTTCTGTTTATTATGTTTTAATCCGAATAAGTAACTTTTTTTATTTTTGCTTTGCTTTCTGCATGTTGGAATTTCTTAAGCAAATGTCTTGAGAAATTGTTTGATTGAATTCTTTCATTGCATTATTAGATCCTGTTGGAATTTGGATTTCCATTTTTGTTCACTACATAGTTGAGAATTTTCGAATATTTCTTCTGTTATAAACAGGCGATTGCTTGCATGATGATTATGAACTGCTGGAAGCACCAATAATTCGGAAATCTTTTAACCATGTAAATATTTCTATGTTTAGATTTATTTAGGGCCCAAATTAATATATACTGTTGTGCTTGTTAAATAGTTAGTTGTTTTGGACCCTTCGAATAGAGTGACAGAAAAACATGTAACCTATTTGAGATCTATTGTAAATAAGGGTTAATTTGTTCATTGGATCCCAAATATATTACGCAATATGCACTGCTACAGAGCGTAATATACATGCATGTGATAACATAAGTAACTTGAAGAAGTGGATGAAATACTTGTTAGATTGGACTTTATAACCATCTTATTTGAAAATCATTGGTCTAGACTGTATGGAAATTAATGTTATAAAAATCATACCGGACCAGGCAATTCAACCTGAAAACCTAGGAACCATTTCAAAATGCAGTCCAGTTAAAGCTTAAAACCCACTTAATTCAAAACTGGTAAAAAACCGTTCAATTGACTGGTTTAACCATTAACCGGTAACCCAAAACCGGTTGCCGATTTTTTAGTTGTTTAGAAGGTATAAAAATTTCAACTTTCAACCTACTGAATTGATAGGCCCTGAAAGGTTATGATGCCATTGTTGTACCATCTATTTATAGGGTCCATTTTTAGTGATTTAGTAAGAAGATTTCCATGTGAGATAAGTAAAAAATACCCTTTGTATATTACACATAATATTAATAGTAATTTATTTTATTGAGTCAATTAATTATTTTTCTCTGTTTCCTTAGTTAAAAATTAAATTAAATTAAATTAAAACTCTCCCAACTATTTCAATTAGCAATAAAAAAACATGAATCAAAATTACTTTTAACGAAACCTAGGATTTGAATGCACGAGTTAAATTTCTTATACCATTGTTTAGGGGCTTGTTTTAAATCATAAAGTGATTTTTTCAATAAACACACTTTTTCAAATTTAGACTTTATTTCAAAACTCTTAGGTTGACTCATACATATAATATCATCTAGATCACCATTCAGGAAAGCAGTTTTAACATCAAGTCGATCTAATTCCTAGCCAAAATGAGCAATCAAGGCAACTAAGATTTTAATAGAAGTATATTTAGCAACATGTGAAAATATCTCTTTATAGTCTATGCATTCCTTCGTGTAAACCCTTTAGCTACTAATCTAGTTTTATATATATCTTATTTTCAGTATTGGACTTAGCTTCTTTAATTTTTGTAAACCCATTTACAATCAACTATTTTCTGTATCTTATAGGCTTGTCAACAAGAATTCAAGTTTTATTCTTTATTAAGGAGCCCATTTCATGTTTCGTGGCTTCTTTACAAAACACTGATTTTTTACTGTTAGTAGCTTCTTTATGAGTAGTGGATTCAGTATCAAGAGAGTCCAAAATAGAGAAAATGGTCACAAAATCATCACTGTTAATTCTAGTAAAAGGGAACCTATTTCTCCTACTTCTATCTCTAGTTAACTGGTAATTAGTTAGAGTGGGATTTTGAGATTGGTTTTCAACTTCTATATTAAATTGAGCTTGACCTGTTTCAGATTGAGATGTCTCCACCTCAGTCTGATCTCCAAGTTCGATATCTACATTTTTATTTTCTAAAATTGTTTCCTTAACCAATGGATTTTTATCAGATTTATGCTTGGAAGAAACAACACAAGGAATATCATTTTCATTAAAAATGATATTTCTACTTATAATGACTAAGCCATTCAGTTCTTTAATCCAAAGTCTATACCATTTAGTTTCTTCCCCATATCCCAGAAAAATAGATATTAAGGACATTGGTTCAAATTTTCCTTCACTTTGGTGGGAATAGGTTGCACAACCAAAAACCTTAAGTCTAGAATGATATGAAGGCTTATTAGACCATACTTGTTTAGGGACGTGAAAATTTATGACACTAGAAGGAATCTTATTGACGTGATATGTAGCAATTTTTAAGGCCTCTCCCCAGAATAGCTTGGGAAGATCAGAACTTAAGAGCATACATTCGATATTTTTAATAAGGTTTTATTCATCCTCTCATTTATACAATTCTGCTGATGTGTATAGGTCAGTTTTATATCTCAGAATTCAAGACCCTTTAAAAAAAGAATCAAATTCAAAATTACAGAATTCAAATCCATTATCCGTTCTTAATGCTCTAATTTTCTTGTTGATTTTCTATCAATAATTTCCATTACTTAAAGTTTTGAAAGGTATTGATTTTTTTTTTGGGAAAAACATCTACTATAAAAGATAAAACTCGAACCTGCTAAGAGTATTTACAGATGTTGGCCCTCAGCATGTAAATATCCAAGAATGGATGTGGATTTGTGCATCCCTGTTTTAAAAGGCATTATTTTCTGCTTTCCAATGACACAGTATTCACAAAATCTAAAGTGTTCAATTTTATTATTTCCAAAACACCCTATTTTCTTAAGCCACATTTTTGGGCCAAAATACATTTTGAAATAGTATTTTGTTTAAGGATGTGTGACTAAAAAATAAGAAATTTTTTTGGATTTACGTGTAAAATTATTTTATGGGAAAATGCGTGGTTGAAGATGAGTTTTGAAACAATGAGGGGCCGTTCTCTTCGTATTTCAGTTTTGTGTTTTGAGTTTTGAATTCATTTTGGGCTTTGTGTTTTGAATGTCCATTTTGAAATTGTTGAAAATGTGTTCTTTTTGGCATTTTGAAAAATTGTTTTCGAAAATAAAAAAAAACCAAAACGTGTTCTCTTTCTCTCCATTTTCATTTCATTTGGGTCGTCTCTCTCTCACTCTCTCCCTCCTCTTCCTGCGAACGGCCCTCC